TGGGTGGGTGCATACAATTGTGGGTGGGTACGGGTGGGTAGGGGTGAAGAAAAGTTTTGGTTGGGTACAGTACAGGTGGTTAACAAAAGGTTTGGGTGTAGGTGGCCATGGGTAGTCTTAAAACAGAAAGTCCATGGGCAGCTACAGTCAGAAGGGGTTCAGGTAGGGCAGGTACGGGTACACTTTTTGTTTTTTTGAGCAGGTAAGGATGGGTAAAGGTCCAGTAGGCCATCTATACAGTGGGTATGGGTGGTTAGTTTTCAAAGAGGGTATGGGTAGGTAAGGTACAGGTATTCCAAAAAATCACAGTTGCCACCTCTGGCGTAGGGCATGCCGGGCGGCAGGGCTGTTGTTCTCCCGTCGAGGGCTGCTTCGTTCCAGTGGAGATGATGTTGGGTGGCTGCACTTGTCTGGGTTGGAAGGCCAGCTGTTATCCTTGTCCAAATGGCGCGCTGGGGCGTGCTGGGCAGCAGGACTGTCTCTTTCCCGTTGAGGTGGCGCATGCAGGGCGCAGACGTGATGAAGGTGTCATCTTCAACTTTGCATGGGGCGATGGCAAGAGTAGCCGCCCTACTTCAAAATTCGAAGCTGGGCGGGCGCGCACGGTGTGGGCATGGCTGGACAGGAAACTGGCAGGGCGAATTTGCGTGGGCGTCAGCCCAGAGGGCCTAGGCTGGGCGCTAGGCTGCTAGCGCTTTAGCGCAGCGCTGTGTGAATGCGCTAACCAAACGGGTGCATCCAACCAGCCTATGTTTTTACAATATCTGCAGGTGCTTTGTCAAAAATTTGACAACCATTTCTTGAGTAATGCGTGCCACCCTCATGCTAATCTTCTCTGTATGGTTCCAGTTTTCGCAGATGTTCTAAAGGATACCATGGCAATACCCCGTCTCTACGTGTTCTCTTTTTTGTCTAGCAACTCTCTCATCTGGTGTTTCATGAAAGAATCTTTGTCCCTCGAGATTTTGTCTAGAAGCTATCTCTTGTGATGTGTCGCAGATGAGTCCTTGACTCCAAAGATCCTACGTTTCCAGAGCTTCCCGCTGGAAGTGAAAGGGAAGAACATTGAAATCACTCTTATTGCTCGACGGTGCTGCCGACGGATTGGTAAGATGAATGGTGCTGACTGATTTGTGGTCCTGGCTCGCCTAGTGTAGAGTTTCTCCCTACTTCAGACCAATTCAAGCCATGTGTGAGGCTGTCCGCTGAACGGAGGTTGAGGCAGCTTGTTGCCGTTCTTTGTATGTGCTCCGTGACCTTTAAGTAGAATGACAGTGGGTGTAGAATTAATGAGGGAGGGAAAACTACATGAAATATGAAAAGAAATGCCAACTTATTGCTCGCTGACAGAGAATCGCTGCTGCTTTGACAGCAGGATAAAACCACACGCTGGAAAGTAGAACCTTCAGCTATGTTACAAGGGCAGTTATCCTGCTGATCCAGTTCCAGACATCTAGACTGGACAGCCCCGTGGACAACCTGAATGTCTGATGTGTTTTGTTGAAAAGAATTCTCCTAGAAAAGGAAGTTGTGCAGAATTGCAATAAAAATGATGTATGACTGAGGGTCACTTAAACATTCTTTGTGTGTTTCCAGATAGAAATGTAAAAGGAAAAGAAAATGTTTATGTTTGATAATGGAACCCTTGAGGTTCATATCCCCACCCCCGTTATACCCTGCAAGATGCCCATTGAAACTGTTTTCACCTTTTTGCAGTAGCAGATGCAGATCCCAGGGCTTGATGCCTAAACCTGTCCCGAACCCGTGTACAGTACAGTTTGCCCCATCAATGTTTGAACCCGTGACCTGCCTCTGAAGTTGTCTGTTGAAGGCCATTGTAGATAGAAGGGCTGAGTAGGTTCGAGCTGCTACCTGTAGGGTAGAAGTCGTAGCCTATGTCAGGTCGTAGCTGCTGTAGTTCTGAAGGGTCAACCTAGTCGTAGCTGCTACAGTACCGAAAGCGCAAGTAGGAAGGTCTAGAGTCTTCTAGGACTGCCCCTTTGAGAGTCTCAGAAGCAGTCCGTAGGCAAGTGGGCAAGTGGGCAGACTTACCAGGTCTAGTCAGCGGTACCAGTCCCAGTTGGACCTTGTCCAGTCAGCAAGTACCATGTGGGAGTGTGTGCATCCTAGGCCTGAAGGAAAGGAGCAGACCAGCGACCAACTAAGTATAAATCAAGAGGCAGCGTCCAGTTAGTCATTCATTCAGACTGTGCGCCGTGCGGAAGCGCTGCCTGAGCGCACGCGCCCGAGGAAGAAGTGGGCTGAGAGGGAGACGAAGCGGCCATAGCCGCTAGTTGGTGGTAGAGGTAAAACACAGCCATAGCTGCTATAGGTTAGAGATAGTGTACGTGTATGTGAGTGAGTGTACGGCGTGTATGTGAGTGAGTGTGCAGTGAGTTGTGTGTGCGTGTGGGATGTCCAGGGAGATCCAGGGTAGCATGCGTGTGAACAGAGCTGAGGATACAGCCTGGAAGGGTGTTGTGAGGGCGCACAGGCGCCATAGCCATTCGAAGCAAGTTGAATCTGAACTGTGTTCTTGGCCACGATATCTTTGAGCTTTGTGTGGGCGCTCGTCACCAGTATGATTGGTATCTGCTCTCATGCATGCTGAGTAAGAAAAAGATGCATGCTGAGTAAGAAAAAGACGAGTCTGACTGGATTGGTATCAGAGCTGGTTCCCGCTGTTCCACCTGCCATCGTCGTTGTCACGAAGGAGGAGGAGCTGCCATAGCTGCGCAGCTGCAGGAAGGCGCTTACCAGCACAGGCAACGATGACGAAGGAGAGAGAGAGAGAGAGAGAGAGAGAGAGAGAGAGAGAGAGAGAGAGAGAGAGAGAGACAAGATTGGTTGTGCGGTTCAGGGAAGGAGGTGGTGGCCATAGCTGCTTAGCTTGGACACACAAAAGAAGACGAAGGAGGAGACTAGAAGTGAGCAGGAAGAAAGTAAAGGAGGAGGGAGAGACGAAGAAGGGAAAAGAAGCCATAGCCGCGGGTGAAGGTGAAGAGACGAAGCAGGAGAGAAGCCATTGCCAAGGGTGAAGGTGAAGAGAGAAGAAGGTTGGTGCAAGAGAAGTGGTCGGCCGCCATAACCGAACTTACTGAAGTTGACTGGAGCGTTGATCGAAGTGTTGACTAGCATTGACCGAGGTGTTGATTGAAGTTCACCAAGTGTTGACCAAGGTGTTGACCAGCATTGACCGAGGCTGTTGACTATGAAGTTTGACCAAGTTGGAGTTGCCAAGCCTTCAGCCTATCCCCTCGCCCAACCAAAGTGTCCAGTTTCACTAGTCAGAACTGGAAAGAACCGATGAGAGTCTATGGCTCGTCTGGCCGCCATCCAGAGACCAACGGTCAGACCAAACAGATGAATAAGATCCTGCAACAAGTTCTTAGAATGTATATCAGACCTGATCAAGTCAACTGGGATGAGATGCTTCCCAAGGTAGTCAGTGCATATAACAACAGCGTGCATTTAGCAACCTGTCGCACTCCCAACGAAATGCCTTCTACGCAGACCATTTCAAGGACTGAACCGGGATCAGATCCAGGGGCTGCCACCCGGTACTTGGGAGTTTGCGCTACAGCACGAGAAAGAAATTGCTACCGTGATAGAGAACATCAGGAAGGCCCAGCACAAGATGATAGAACAAGCCAACAAACACCGTCGCCCGTCACAGTTCCAGGTAGGCGACCTAGTCTGGGTCAAGTTCAAAGAGTTTGCTCCTGAGGAGGACATCTCACAAAAACTGTTTCCTGCTAATAGAGGACCGTGGCCAGTCCTAGAAGTAAAGGGCGGAGAGGATGGACCGTCCTACACAATAGACATTCCAGCACACCTCCACACCTACCCAGTTTTTCACGCGTCAAAGTTGCTGCCTTGCACTACGAGTCAACAGTTCCCATGGCGGAGATCCGTGATCCATCCGGATATGGACAGAAAATACGACATTGATTGCATTGTAGGTGAAGATGTATTCAGAACTGGAGGTAGAGGTCGTCCACAGAAACAGTACAAAGTTAGATTTACCTATCAAGAACCAGAAGATGATCGCTGGTTTACCCGAACAGAGCTTCTGGAGACTGGTCCCGGTATAGTCCGGGCCTATGAGAGAGATAAGAAAGGCAAAGGTCCTGCCGTGCACTGAAGTATTCTTGGAGGACCTCAAATTTAGGCTGGGCGGAGTGAAACGGTTTTCACCTTTTTGCAGTAGCAGATGCAGATCCCAGGGCTCGATCCCTAGACCTATCCCGAACCCGTGTACAGTACAGTTTGCCCCATCAATTTGAACCCGTGACCTGCCCCTAAAATTGTCTGTTTAAGGCCGTTGTAGATAGAAGGGCTGAGTAGAAGGGCTGAGTAGGTTCGAGCTGCTACCTGTAGGGTAGAAGTCGTAGTCTATGCCTGGTCGTAGCTGCTGTAGTTCTGTACCGGGTCAACCTAGTCGTAGCTGCTACAGTACCGAAAGGGCAAGTAGGAAGGACTAGTGTCTTCTAGGACTGCCCCTTCGAGAGTCTCAGAAGCAGTCCGTAGGCAAGTGGGCAAGTGGGCAGACTTACCAGGTCTAGTCAGCGGTACGAGCCCAGTCGCACCTTGTCCATGTGGGACTGTGCATCCTAGGCCCGAAGGATAGGAGCAGACCAGCGATCAACTGAAGTACAAGTCAAGAGGCAGCGTCCAGTTATTCATTCATTCAGACTGTGAGCCGTGCGGAGTCTCTGCCTGAGCGACTTGTGCAAGGTCTGCATGCGCCCGAGGAAGAAGTGGGCTGAGAGGGAGACAAAGCAGCCATAGCCGCTAGTTGGTGGTAGAGGTAGAACACAGCCATATCTGCTATAGGTTAGTGGTAAGTGTATGTGAGAGAGTGTGCAGTGAGTTGTGTGCGTGTGTGGGACATCCAGGGAGACCCAGGGTAGCGTGCGTGTGAACAGAGCTGAGGATACGGCGTGGAAGGGCGTTGTGAGGGCGCACAGGCGCCATAGCCATTCGAAGCAAGTTGAATCTGAACTGTGTTCTTGGCCACAATATCTTTGAGCTTTGTGTGGGCGCTCGTCGCCAGTGTGATTTCTATCTGTTCTCATGCATGCTGAGTAAGAAAAAGACGAGTCTGATTGCGCATTGAAGCTCACGTGTTCTTTCTGATCGAGCTTGGAGTTGAGTTGACTCAAATGCAAATTGCAGTGGTGCAGACCGGGCAAACTAAACGTAAAAAATGTCGTGCAGAATTGCAATAAAAGCGATGTCTAGGTCATTGGAGTTCACATGTTTGGTCGAGCTTGCATTTGAGTTGACTAAGTGCAAACTAACCGGATGCAGTCTGGTGGACAGCCCGGATATCCACATGAGTGTATGGTAGTTTATACCCCTCCAAACTCTTGTTGGGGCTGATGCACTTTTTTGGCAAAAAGAACAAGCTTCGATTTTAGCTCTATGCACTAAGATCGCATTAACCATACTGTCATTCCAGACTGAAAAGATGTGTCTCCGGGTTCCGACTTGTCTGGATTCAGGGCCTGTAGAGTCCCAGCAGCCCAGATAGAAGAGGCAGAACTGTATGTGTGGTTGACTGGGCCTTGCATGACTTGTCGGGATATGCCAGGCATGTTATGAAGGGCTTGTCTGGTCTGAACTAGCCCGATGGACACCTGGATCTGTACATATGGGTTACCAAGACGTTTAGTGTGTTACTGAGGAAACGGCACAGGAGATGGACAAGGCATGGATGGCCATGAGAGAGTGCGCAGGTGCATTGAGGGAGAGAGAGAGAGAGAGAGAGAGAGAGAGAGAGAGAGAGAGAGAGAGAGAGAGAGAGAGAGAGAGAGAGAGANGAGAGAGAGAGAGAGAGAGAGAGAGAGAGAGAGAGAGAGAGAGAGAGAGAGAGAGAGGGAGAGAGAGAGAGAGAGAGAGAGAGCATCAATTCCCCGTCCCCACTCTTACACGCGTCCTTGTACCTCTTTCAGTCAGCAGAGGACAGAGTGTCATCTTGTTTATCTACTGTGGTAGCATGGCTGGGTGGTCAGTGAAAAAGAGTGTAGAGGTCGTTGCTGGGGCTGTTTGTGGAGGGGGGCTTGGATAATCATCTTAGGGTTTCTATTGAGTGAGTTCCTGTGGTGGGTCATCCCATGCATTTCTGTGGTGGCTTGTGCAGGAACAAGAATGTGGCGGAGAGGTGCTGATATTGATGGCAATGTTGCCAATTTTATGGAGACAGAGCAAATACTATCTGTCGACGGCTCCCTAGCAGCGTATCTGCAGGTTGACTTCTGGCCACCCTTGTTCTCATACCATGCTCGTAGGTAGATATTGTGGGTGGTAATATGTCTTGGTACCGTCGTGACAGGGGCTTGCATTAAGGTCTGGCCGCTTAACTTTGTTGGTGAATTTCACTTAAATATTTCATCATTTCCGTTCATTGTCTGGTACAAAACCTGAGAGGGACCAACAGTATTGACAGCTGACAAAGCTTAGATGTTCATGATTGTTGGTAAGAGTTCTTATTTATGTGCACATGTATCTTGTGCAGGTGAGAGGATCTATTCCGGTGTTTTGGGAGCAGATTGTGGATTTGAAGTACAAGCCAAATATTACACCGATCAATTCTGATGAAAGTGTAAGTGGAAGATGCTATACAGGATGGTAGTGGGAAGAGGTTTTTTGCCTGATCACATTTGTTTTCACAGGTTCACTATGTTTTTTTCAATGTGGTCGACCTGTCCCCTTATCCGGTTGCTGGCATCAGCGTTTCCCAGACCATTGCTTTCAGCGTTGCCTGATAGTGTCCTTGTGGTCGTGGCTTGTTGTTGTTTTACGCTTGCTGTGCAGCCCTCTATGGTTCGCTTTGCCTGATGCAGCTGCTGTTTCTCTTTGGTCTTGATCCTGACATCTGTCCTTGGTCCATGTTCCCTCTCAATTGCATGGTCTGTGTACTGTGACTTGCATTCCCGTCTTCCTGTGGATCTCAGACAGAGAAGCTTCTGCTATTGCAAAAGGCAATAGAGGGTTTGGTATTGCTTTTGTGCTCGTAAACGGTCTATCATATTTCGTGATGTCACACCTATTTGTAACCTGGATTAACCTGGTCCCTGATGCAGCCTCGTTCCTGAGGTGGTTGGTGCGCATATGATGCCCAGATGCGGTCTCTGTTGTGCTGTTTGTTGTAACTACAATGCCTACTTCTCCTGGTTATGTTTCCTCAACGTAAAACTTTTATATGGCATTTCACTCTTTCCCATCTCTCCTCTTACTGTGGGTTTGCATGCCACTGGTTCATCCTGCAGCGGATTTGTCTGACCCTGTTGTCTTTGAGCCTGTTCTGGGGGAAAAAAGAGAGATTCTGTTGAGGCCGTAGCTCTTTTTTGCTGTCACTGTAGTGGGAAGGGTCTGGAAAACGGTTTTGCCGCTGCCTGCATAATCTACCACAGCTATTAAAGTTCTTTTGATCGTGTGTTATGTTCTTCCAGTCGGGTGTAATGTTACATCGCTACCCATCCTGACTAGATTCTGCCCGATTTATGGAGTCCCGGAAAACCTGACTAAAGAAAGCGGCGGCCAAGAAGAACTACAGGACGCACAACCATTCGAACCACAAGAAAAGGAAGCAAAAGCAAACTACACGAACTGCTATGATGGGCCTCAGCCCGGCACTCACCAATTGCACAAAAGACAAAAATTACATCGGTGTATTTTTTGCTGTTCTGTTCGAAGCTCCATTCTCATTTCAAATGTTTGGTGAGGGGTGTGGCAAGGGCTGGTATCGGTCGTTGTTGTTTTTTTTGTCGTTCGTACTTTCAGTTGTTTGCGCTTTTGGGGGTCGTGTCCATAGGCCTCGCTGCACGGCTCACCAAATGTGCAAAATGAGAAAAAATCTTCGGCTAGAAGGCGGAACGATACACCCCGTAATTTTAGTGTTTTCTGCAGTTTGGGAGCGGCGTGGCCAGGTCAGCCCGGTATCGAACGTTCTTTTTTTTGTTGCTGTGTACTTTCGTTTTTCTGCCTTTTTTGAAGTTTTTGGGGATTGTGTCCATGGGCCACGCTGCACGGCTCGACAAATGTGCATAATGAGGAGAATGAATCTTTGGTTAGAAGGTGGAAAGATACACCCCGTAATGTTTGTCTTCTCTGCAGTTGGGGAGTGCCGTCGCCAGGTACCTAGGGAGGTAGTGACAATAAATAACAACACTGGGCTCTTTCGAGTCCCGTAAGTGGAAAGATAAAATGAACAAAAAAAAGAAGGCTCAGCAGGGCCTCGCTCCACTACACGACGCTATCCATGCCTCGGGACTGTTTGTGAATTGCATACATTGAAAGCGTTGGACTCATCCGAATGCATGTGGTCCAGAAAACGTCCGAACGCATGTAGTGTGGTGTAGTGGAGCAAGGCCCAATGGCATCCGAGGAATTGAACAATTCTTCTGATTTCTTGGCCCCAGGTAATTCAGACGTATTTTATTCTGCTCATCGTCTTGCATGTGGATTTTGAACCTAGGTCTGTATTTCAATAGTTCATGGGTTTGTTAACTGAGCCAGGCACGCGTGGCTTCGGTACAGTGGCTGGCCGCCATCCTGAAATGAGAAATGCTGCCGCGCTTTTGTATCATTGCTGGATTCCCATCGGGATTTCCCGTTCTGGAGTGCTGCCCAGAGAGGAAAGGCGGGCGAAGTTTTTGCCAGGGCGACGGCGTCTTCCTTCCTTGGCCGTGCGTGGGTTCAAACAGCCATCGCCGTGGTGAATCTCTCTCTCTCTCTCTCTCACACACTCTGCGGGAAGAGGTGGAGAGTTTTGTTCACACTCGACCTAAGAACAAAATAGGCGGACTCAGCCGGGTGAATTGCATTTTTCTCTCTTTCGCCCTCCCTCTCTCCCTCCTCCCCTCCCCTCCCCCCCCCACCCCTCCCTCTCACTCGGGGGGGGCCTACATGTCCATTTCTTCATCCATCTGTTCATTCCTTTCTGGCTCCAACCCCCATTTTTGTGGGGGTGCTATGTTGCAAGCGGGACAGAATTTGTGCACGCTCGGAAGGCGTAGGCGGGGATCGTGGCATGAATGCAGACAGGCAGGGGAGAATGAACACCAGGGGGAGGTCAGGTGCCTGGTCATTCAGGGAGGAGAAGGTCGCCATCGAAATCGTGAGGGGCTGAAGTAGCAGGAGAAGAACAAAGGGGGAGGGGGAGGATGCGGGATCAGGGAGATTCATCGACAGAGGAAGCAGTAGAGTAACTGGGATAGGGTGAAGCATGCAAAGTAAATTTGCCAGCGTTAAGGTGGTTGTTGAGGGGAGGACGTCGAGGGGGTTCTTGAGTAACGGGAGGAGGATGTACTTCGAGGACCCATTTTGTGAAAATCCGGTCAGGATGCGGGATTAATACAAGGAGAAGGTTGGAATGTCAGCCAATCAGGGTGAGGATGTATGTAACCAATGAAGTGCAGGGGAAAGAACGTCAAGGCAACAGGGTAAGGACTGCAGTTCGTGTAGGGGGATCTGGACAAAGCGGGGAAGAGATTGCAAGGGGGAAGAGGGGCTGAGTGCAGAGGATGTTAGCATTTGACTGTCGTTAATGACAGGAGGCACTCCCTGGTGCTAGAGCGAGAGGGATGGAGAAGAGAGAATAGCAAAAGAACGGGAAGATTTATGGAGGAACAGATGGTGAGAGAGACAGAGCAGAGAGAGATCCCAGTTGAATATGATTTTCGGCCACGATGTTCTCTTCATGGAGGCACGGCCGTCCTCACTCTAACTCCCACTTTAGATGATTCTAAATGTTAAAAGAGAAAAAAGATGGCGAAATAATGTGTGGTATTTACTACGTCCTTTGAGCGCTTCTTGTCCTCCGATCACTCTATTGCTATCATCTGTTTCTTTTCCATTTCATATCTCCATTCTACCAGTGGGGATGCTCCCAGACCGGTTTCTATCCTCTTCATATTTTGCACCCGACGTTGTTGTCGCTTATCAGCTCTGTGTCGGAATCAAATGCCGAATTGATGATCACATCTGATTCGATCTGAATGATTTTATTCAAGTCACGATGTTCAGCCGAACCCTCTTCCCCTCATCAAGACGGTGAATGGATTGATTAACAGCGATGAACAACCAGCAGTTCTTTTTTCTGGTTTGTTTTTTTTTTTGCTTTTTTTTTTCCCTGTGCAGGGAACATGAGCGAGAGCGATAGACAGAAATCAAATCGCCGAAGGAGAGTCAGTCTCGCCATCCGGTCATTTTAACTGAATACAGTATATCCATTAATGAAATCTTCAAAGAAAAAAAGTGAAAAATTCAACCCTGGCATCAAGTAAAGTTAGTTTCATTGTAAGGAAAAAGAAAAAATAGAGATCCAACCCCTTGCATCTCAAAGAATAACCTCCAACCTGGGAAAGGGGTGGGGCGAAGTCAGGGAGAGGGAGAGAGACGCGCAAAAATGCCAGTTATTGATAGTTGATCAGGAAACTCTAGGGCCATGGATGGATGTAGGGAGGGGGGGAGGGGGAGAGAGAGAGAGGTGCAAAACGTTGGCTATTTGTAGTTGATCAGAAATTTCTGAGGCCAATCCCACACATGAGAGAGAGAGAGGTGCAAAACGTTGGCTGTTTGTAGTTGATCAGACAACTATGAGGCCAATCCCACACACGAGAGAGAGAGAGAGAGAGAGAGAGAGAGAGAGAGAGAGAGAGAGAGAGAGAGAGAGAGAGAGAGAGAGAGAGAGATCAACGGTGGCAGTCTGAAGCTCACAGTAAATTGGCTTTGCTTCTTTGTCCTCTTTGCTTGCAGCAGAAGGTCACAGAGAGACATTTTCGTGATCTGCTAAACAGTTATGGGGCTCCAATTGTCATAGTGGACTTGGTTAATCAGGTGGGTATTCCAAGTTTTCTGTTATGCCAGGCATTTTCGGAATCTGATACTTATAGCCTCCAGTTATCATAGTGGACCTGGTTAGTCGGGGGGGGTATTTTCTGGTCTTCTGCTTTAACTTTGTTGCATGGCTCTGATTGGGTGGCTGTATTCCATGTGTCAACGGGTGCTAGCTTACCCTATGCAGTTCCATTCCAAGTCTGTCACCAACTGGTGAAAGTCTTTTGCAGACTGAACTCCTCGTGGTTAGTTGGTGATCTTGTTCAGCGAGTTGTGCATTCGGCATGATTGTGCATGGGGCCTGGAAGTCTTGCTTGGGTGGTTGGGTGGTTTCTGAGAGAGGCTCAAACTGTACTGTTGCTTTTTTTTTTTTTTTTTTTTTTAAAAAAAAAACACATTCCCCATCTATTCTGGGGTATGTCAATCCGGTTGCTCATCACCAGCAAGCATGTTTGTACATGATAAAAGCAGCAAGGAAGAGTGCTAGGGTTTGACCCATCGGCATATGGCCCTGCAGCCTAAATCCCAATGTCCCCTGAACTCGTCCATTTTTGCAAATCGTGGTCTGCAAATCGTGGTCAGCAACAGACAGTTGGCACGAGCCAGTTGGTTACATCCGTCTTGCACATGATAATGGGAAAGATTTGTGAGCCTTCCAGGGCCTTCCAGGGAGAAACGCACGATTGTGCCTGGGTGGTTGGGCATGCCTAATCTAATCGGTCCCAGGCCGCTGTCTGAACGGGCCTGGGCGCAGACACCTTGGCGGAGACTGAAGCTACTGTGAACTCGGTTTCAGGTGTGCATGGCAAGGCAAACCGCCCGCCACTTTCCATATAGGAAAGGGATAGGCTCCGGGTTTCGCATTCGGGCACCAGCATGCAATGCGGCAGCAATGCTAAAGCAAGTGCTCGCAGTGTCGCACTTTTTCTAGTCAGGCCACATCGGGCGACCAGAAAGCCAACAGGCTGTCACGCAGGAATTTGCAGTCGCTTGCAATAAATAAACAAATTAAGTAAAGTAAATCCCTTCCTGTTGTGTGCGTCCGGCTTCGAGCGAGACCCTTTGATTGCGGTCTTCACTGGTCTTTGGTCTTAGGAATTTTTTAATTTAATGCGGAACAGCAAAGATCATGCGAATAATAATCATATGATTCTGGTGTGCCATGCATGTATCGATTTTGCCAATCACTAATTTTGAGAACTATGACAAGATCATCAGAGAACACAATCATCGAGCAGAGTTAATGCAAATGAAGCAGGACTGATTGACTCGAGCAAAGACAAGGATAAATGAGGGAAGAATGAGAACTCATAATAATATCAGAAAATACAAATGAATGGGCATGGCCAGCACTCGTCAAGAGTCCTCACTCATCCTTGTAGGGTCTCATCCTCAATCTCTCATTTGGTTGTGCGTCGCTTGTGCCTTTAGCCATGTCCTCGTACTTCTTGAGACTGTGGCCTCTGAATGTAGAGCCACCTGAAGCCTACGAGTTCCGAACACTTTCATCCAAGGCTCATGATAAGGAAGTCAGCCATAACACATAATTCCTCTCATAGTGTAGGGAGATATGGCTGGGAGAAGATCCCTTCACAATCAGACTCGTTCTCATTCACACTTTTCATGCATGTAAACTTTCAACTGGCAGCAAACTGGCGACATACGCCCGCTCAAAACTCAGAGATATGGCATCCAGATACGAGTTCACTTTCAACTGGCTATGGCGACTCAGCGCCCAAACAACTCACTGTTCACACACACCGGATCACCCTGGATATCCCACACGCGTAACTCTGAACACTCACACATACACACACACTTCACACTAAACTGCAGCTATGGCAGCTATGGCTGCCTCTACCCTATTGCTATACTAAGCTCCTCCTCTCTCGCCCAGTGCGTCCTCCAGGCTCACTGCAGACCTCCTTGCACAAGTCGCTATGACAACGCTCACTTCAAACCTCCTTGCACAAGTCGCTATGACAACGCTTCCGCATGGCTCACGCAGGAATGAATGAATGGCTGGGCGCTGCCTCTGGATTTATACTTCTGAAACTTGGTGGTCTGCCCGTTCCCATCGGCCCATCGTGCTCACAGTCCCTCGTGGTACTTGCTGGACCGGACTGGGACTGACTGGACCTTACCGTTGACTGACTGTGGACTCACTACTATCCTACCGTCGCCGTACTGCAATTACACTGCAGTTTAGTCCACCACTTGACTGACCACTTGACCACTTGCCCACTTGCTGACCTTCTAGAAGGGCTACGGCTAGGCTTCTGGAACTCACTAAGACTTCTACTCTATAGATCTACCGATCGAACCCCTGCTACCTACGGACCTATGACAGACCTATCAACTGTCTACGAATACACACGTCACAGGTTCAACTCTCGGGATCTACACAGATACTGTACATAGGTAAGGCGAGGTCTAGGGATTGAACTCTGGGCACTGCGTCTGCTACTGCTAAAAGGTGAAAACCGTTTCACTCCTGCCGTCCTAAATTCGAGGTCCTCCGAGAATATCTCAGTCCAAGGCGGGACCCTTACGTTTCCTGTCACACTCATGAGCTCTGACTATGTCGGGAGCTGTTTCTAGAAGTTCTGTTCTTGTGAACCAGCGGTCGTCTTCCGGTTCCTGATAGGCAAACCCGACCTTGTACTGTTTCTGGGGACGACCTCTACCTCCTGTCCTAAATACATCTTCATCTACTATGCCGTCAATGTCATAGCTTCCATCCATATCCGGAGGGATCATGGATCTTCTTGAAGGGAACTGTTGACTTGTGACACACGGCAACAGCTTTGAAGCATGGAACACCGGGTAGGTGTGGAGGTGTGCGGGAATCTCTATTGTGTAGGACGGTCCATCCTCTCCGCCCTTGACTTCTAGAACCGGCCACGGTCCTATATGTAGGCAGTAGCTTCTGCGAGATGTTTTCCTCAGGTGCAAACTCTTTAGCCTTGACCCAGACTAAATCGCCTACCTGAAACTGCGACGGGCGACGGTGCTTATTAGCTTGTTCTATCAGTCTATGTTGGGCCTTCCTGAGGTTCTCTACAACTGTTGCTAGCTCTTTCTCGTACTGTATCGCAAACTCCCTGGTATCGGGCGGTAACCTGTGAATCTGATCCCGGTCCAGTCCTTCGAATGGTCTGTGCGGCCTAAAGGACTTGTGCAGCTCATTGGGAGTGCGACAGGTGGATAGATGCACGCTATTGTTGTATGCGTTATCGTTTGTCTCTGGATGGCGGCCAGACGACATCAACAACTTAGATCCGTAGACTCTCATGAGTTCTTGCCAGTTCTGGCTGGTGAAACGATTGTATCTATCGCTAACTATTGACAATGGGATTCCATTCTCACTAACCCAAAAATCAAAGGACTTCTGAATCACTAAATCCGTATGTGCCTTCGCAGGCAAGGGAACAAAAACGGCGTACTTGCTAAAACGGTCAACTATGACCATGACTTGGCTCTTACCATGTCTGCTCTTGACTTGGGTGTCCATAAAGTCTATGGACACTGAGTCTCCCGGATGATCCGGAATAGGCAAGGGTTTGAGAAGACCTAGGGGCGTGCGCGTAGTAATCTTATTCCTCTGGCACACTTTACAACTGCGGACATATTCTATGCAGTCATTCTTCATCCCTGGCCAGGTGTACGCACGCATCAGGTTGGCTAATGTCTTTTGCCAACCGAAATGTCCCTCGGTATCGTGGCATTCCCCTAGGATCAAACTACGAATCTCTTCGTTGTTGGGAACGCACAGGCGGTCAAATACATTAGTCTTCTCAAAGAGTAATCCCTCTGTAGTGCGGTAATCTGGCTCAGTCTCTGGGGCCTCTCTAACTCTCTTTAGGAGGTTGCTATAGATAGGGTCCTGTGCATACGCTTGCTTCACTTTCTCCAGCAGATCTCTCCCTATATCCAGATAGTGTACTATGGCTCCAAAGTAGTCTGATCTTCTACTCAGAGCATCCGCAACTACGTTGTACTTGCCCTTCACTTGCTTAAGCTGAAAGTCATATTGGTCTATCTCTGCGGCCCACCTAGTCAACTTAGGTGTCATCTTGGCCTGCGTCTTTAACCATCTAAGGGTCTCGTGGTCAGAATACATTTTGAAGTGCCTCCCAAGCAGGTAATGCTTCCAGTGGTCTAGAGCCTGCCTGAGAGCGTAGAGTTCTCTCTCGTACGTTGAGGTGGCTACCTTCTTTGAGGGCATCCTCACGAACATGAACTCTACGGGTCTATAGCCATTGCCGTCATCCTGCTGCAACACGGCGCCTATCCCATATTGACCTGCGTCCGTGGTGACGACAAATGGCAAGGACGGATTTGCTACTTTGAGGATAGGGTACTCTATTAACGCGCGCTTCAGTCTCTTTAGCGCAGACGTACAATCTTTGTCCCATTGCCAGATTGCCTCTTTCTTAAGCGATCGGCGCAAGGGAGCGGGGATAGTTGAAAAGTTCCTTACAAACTTTCTATAGTAGTTAGCTAGGCCTAGGAACGACCGCAACTCTGTCAATGTGCGGGGCGTCGGCCAATCTCTAATTGTCGCTATCTTGCTGTCCTCTGGCTTAATGCCATCTCCGTCTAATACGTGGCCCAAGTACAGGACTTGTGTCTTGGCCCACTCACACTTTTTCGCGCTGATCTTCAAGTTTGACTCTCTCAATTTTTCGAAGACCTGCCTCAGATGACCCTGGTGCTCCTGGAGGGTCTTACTAAAACCTAAGATATCATCTAAATAAACTACTGAAACTTATCTCACCATGGCCTAAACAGGTCATTCATACAATGCTGAAAGGTGGCTGGCTCCTTCCTTCTTAGGGACAAACAACACTGGTGCTCCAAAAGGAGACGAACTGGGCCTGATCCAACCTTTCTCGAGGAGCTCGTCTAACTGCTTGCGCAGCTCCTCCAACTCTTTAGGGGAAATCCTGTAGACTGCTCCATTGGAGTTTGACTGCCAGGCTCTATCTCTATCCTGT